CTCTGTCACAACGGTTGTACAGTTTCGACAGCCTCCCTCTCTTTCGACACCAAGCACACCCAAAAGGCTACGCCTAAATATCTCTGTCGCCCTTTTTTCTTCGAAGGTGCAAAAATATATGTAAGTCGAAAGAGAGAAGAGAATCTGTTGAACAGAATTTCTCTTGGTTTCTTTTTTAATGGGTGTCGTATATCTATTTTATTCCGATTTTCAGGGAGCATAAAAAAGGTAAATTTGGGCTCATCTCTGACTCACGAAGTATACATACGAAAATAAAGTGTAATCGTTATTTTCCCAAACTTCAATTTCGCATCTTGTTGAACGAAGATTCCCTCCGTTTCGTCATTTCTCCCAAATTAGACGCGATTAATCGCAATAAACTAAAGTAAATGTGTATTTCTTTGAATTGCATTAATTATCGATTAAAACACTTGTGAAAATCGTGTATAACAAATATTGACTTCCTGGGCTCGTTTAACTCGTCCACTCGAAAGTAACGCATTATCACCTTCATTTACGTCGATATTATTATCCCTAGAGAAAAATGTATTAAAATAAAGTCGCATGGTTTCAAGGTGGACGTAAGATTTGTCGAGCGAAATTTTTCTATTGTAGATAGGGACACTTCAAATTAACCCTTTCATGACCGAATTATATTTTTTAAAGAATTCTTTATTTGTCTACCGATCATCCTGTCTGTAATAGATGCTAAATGGAGATTAATTATTATTTGAGCACTCAAGTGGGACATATGCGTCCCATTGGTCAATAAAGGGTTACCGCTGTATACGACGATAGCAAAATCACTTTTTGCTCGATGCTTTGTATTTGTAGAATAAATAATATATTAACGTGAAATAAGAAACAATTTGCTGGTCTTCTTTCTTCGTAGGTGTGGTCAATTTTTCTAACATTTTCAAATAAAAGCTATAGATATCTTGGAAACGGGTTAAACGAAATTGCTTACCGAAATAAGTGAACAAATGGGTGTATAATTATTTATGAATGTTAGTGCATATAAAAGCAGTCAAATATTGCTAATAGTACACTGTGGACGTTAATATTAGTCAAAGGATTAATTCTTACTTAACAGTATCTCCCGTAGCATTGCTCCCCAGAAAATAATCACAAGTGTAATTACTTAGGAACGCCAGGCAGAGACTTGTACCCAAATGTAAAATACCGGTATTTTTATAGAAATATTTTTCTATATATATTTTGGTATTTTTCGGTAATTTTATAGAAAAATATCGGCATTTTACATTTCGGTACAAGTCCCTGGCTTTATACACACCAGCGTTCCTAAATAATTACACATTTATTTGTTTATAATATTCCTTATTATAATAATCCCATTTACCAAATTTCCAAGGAAGAAATCAAGGATTTCTCTTATTTTGTACTTCTATTTAAGAAAATATTCTAATTTGACTAAAATCAGGGACCCGAGTGTACTTATCAGCACTATTCAACTACTTTTACATACACCAGCGTATAAAAATACCGGTATAACACCAGTATTTTACATTTCAATCCAAATCCCCAATACAAAGACAGTCCAAAACTTCTAACAATACCCCATAATCGTCAATATTAATCAAACAATTAATTTCTCCCCAATCCAAAGAATCTCCGACGCCGATTAGTACCTGATAGAATACAGATGACACCGTGGTGTAGGAAGAATGGCACGAACTGGGTCTTCGAACGCTGATTTACTGCGACGATTAAACTTAGAACCGGTAGATGGTCCGCGACGTACGTTCGATGGCAGAACAAAGCCGACTAACAGTTTCGTGGATTCCAGGGGACGCGGTGCGTGCTAGGCACCGGAAGTTTTCTTTCTCTCGTCGAACGAAGAAACGCTCGCTCGTAGCTTATCGGAATACCGAGAAAAGAAAAAAAAAAAAGGCTCGCC